TGTGTAGGGTATGCTACATATTCAAAAAATAAGCTTAAATGAGCCTAACGTCACAAAAGGAGGGAGGGTGGAGTTACTGACCAGCAAGCATTGATGGTGAGGGCGATAACTTCAATCCACCCGTGTTTGTGGGGACAGAACATTTTGTATGTATCAGGCCCTTTATGATTGAGAATAAGTCAATCAACCTGCGATATAAATTTTCTTCCTACGCTCACCACTCAGACTCATGTTTCCAATATTATGCTGGATTAGCTAACCAACTAAGACAACCTATAACATCCTAACTCGGACTTTTACACTAGGCGTGTGTGGCTGACATCGGATAGACAAAAAAGATAACAAAAGATATAGTCATTAGTATTCTTAACACTTCACCCTCTATATACACACCCCTCTAATAAACCGCCTTCCTTGTACCAACCTTGATTTCCCTTCCTTCATGTGAGCTCACTCCAACTTGTTGAACATCACAACTCATTGTTCTTTATTAGTACATTCTCTAATATAGAGCCTCTGACTTCACTTCACTCTAACAAGACATAATATGAATTTATTCTAATTTATTATACCTCTGTCCGTTCTACTACACAATGTTAATCAATTTTCGGCGTTCATATCCAAGTGCCTTGCTGCTTTTCTGCTTCTCTCTTTTTCTTCAGAATCTTGATCTGTAAACTGCAACATTTGTTTGTGCATAGCATGCTTCCCAACGTATTAGGTTTATGGTTGTTATAAAGTAGACTCGTAGAGCAGTCGCAGTGAACCGTGACCTTGGGGAGATGCGTACGTCAAGTATGTTTCAGACGTCTGAATTTCGCTAGCTGTGCCTTCAGAGCATGCCTGTAAAAATGGCGTGTACCTGCTCATGCAAAAATATATTATTGTTATTAAGAGGAAAATGAGTTAACAACGGAATAAACGGATAGAATAGTCTTTCGAATAATAATGATAGCATTCGGCAACGATTAGAAACAATGTAAGATCAATACAATCATCATTATAATGCTCTGAGCATCCACTCAACTGGCAAGTCCGTAACGACATCATTCCCTAACCACACTATCCATATAGCTAGTCACGTAGCAACTGAGAAGATTTACATTGTGGTATGATCTCTTGGAGATCAAAAAAGGTGAACGCGGGAATACTTAACCGTAACGACATAGATCTCACATTCGTGTGTAACTACTCCATGTACGTTCTTTTATTTAATAGCAAATATATCATTATATCCCCAGCCAAAACGTGTTCTTCAGAAGACTTTGGGAGTAACTGTTGACTGTCACAGTAGGATGAGTCAGTATAGACAAGTACATGTGAAAATGTATCGCAGATCCAAAGTACCTAATCGTCATGTCATTTTCTTCCATTATAAGTAGACAGATAACTCAGTAATCTCATGGATGGTGATCAACTATGGCCGACCATAATAAGCTCATAATTTCCCAAATTCTTGTTTTGTTTTCTTACTCCGGGAATTTACAATCCTATACTCTCGCATATACTTTGATTTGCTATCTGTACTTACCAACTTTAACTACATCTAATCTGACTAGTATCTTATAAAATATACTTTTAGTTTTCTATACAACATTTTGATATACTCACTATTAAATGATTACTGGGTGGCTGTTCGAGATGTTAGATCCCCAGAACTCACTTGGTGAATACCTTATTTTCGTAATTTTATCTTGGAAATTTGAATTTCTTATTTTCGCGCCAAAACTGCCCATTTATACCTTCATGTCGTGTTTCTCACTTGGGAGAATCTCAAGAGCTATTGGTTCCTTGTATCTCTTAGTATGCTTTTTTGTAACGCTTCCGAAGGGCAATTTTATGCTGTGTATATAGGTTTGATTTATGCCTGTTGTTATTGCTCGTGCTTCTGGCTGCTTGCGGAACATATTTTTTCGTCTCGAACTTGGACTTCTCTATCTAGTTAGCGGGGTTGAGACACATCAGAATAGCTAGCTTATTGGTCTTTTGTCACAGAGTCCTTGTTCCGTTCACAGATTAGGCGAACTCGTAATCGCTTCAAACATAGCAGTGGTGATCACTGTCATGTGTGTCCGGTCTTTCTTAGTGCAGATCAAATGCTATCGATCAAGTTGCAATGTGGCCACCAGTCTAGGTGATTCGACATTTTGTGTATTATGTTCAGATGATACGGGATCAAAACCGTCAGGGAGCATCAGTTCCCTCAATAAAACAGGTACACCCTGTTGACGAGTGCCAACTAACACGAAACACGGGTCCAGGGTTTCCTATGATTACCTCCAACCACCATCTTATTGTGATATGATAAATGGATGTCTAACAACACAAAAGCTTTAGCTATATGAGTCGCTTGTAACATGGGACTAGTAGAGACACTGTATTTCAACATGGAGATTTGGTTAACGGAATATTCATACATACCACTGGTGTCAGAGAGCCTAATATCACAAAAGGAGAAAGAGTGGTGCTACTGACCAGCAAACATGATAGTGCAAGGAAAACGTCAATCCACCCATGTCTGTAGGGCGGAATATGTTGTTAAATTACGGCTCGATATGGTCACGTGAGATGCCACGAACCAACGGTATTGATGATAATTCATTATACAAAATACCTCTTTAAATCGTGTTTGTGACGTTGAATCGGTTTCACTTCTTACCCAGAAATCCAATTACAAGCAAAACTAGACAATTCGCTAAACGTTTGGCCTTCTCACCACCCTTGTGGTGGGTCCCAGCAAAAGAGCTTATTCAAGATATAACAATACGCAAAGTTACCAATAATATACCAAAAAGAGTTAACCTAAATGTCTGTTTATGAGTAAAGCAAAACGTAAAAATTTACAGTTACAATATAAATGGTATATTAAACAACCAAATGATAACGGTTGTTATGAAATGAATGTTACTTGTAAGATGCTCTGTGAGATAACAACCACAAATGAGTTCACTTGGTTAACAAAGATTCCTCAGCACGTGATGGCACCAACGGCGCAATGAGAAAGATTAGATCCGGTAGCATTATTTAATAATGATCCGGTTCAAAACTCCAACGTAGTGCAAGAAGGTCCAAGAGGATGTTATAACACTATTATAATCTTCAATCAAAGGCCGTGGCCAATAAAGCAGAATAACAGATGACAGAGATAGTGTTAGTATTTTAACAATCACAGTAGTGTGTTTATGTAATCAAACAATTATATCCGTCTCCTTACAAAGAAATAATGGATACCGAATATAAATGTGGTTACATATAAAATGTGACAAATAGGGAAAATCTGGTTTTTATTTTGTCGTTACAAAAGTTGTTCAATATACATGCAACAATACCCCATAAAATCAATAAAAATAAGGAAATGAGCTGAAGTGGCTTCAACAAAAGATGAGATAGTCATCTGTGTATGAGAATACTGTTTCCAGACTACACATAATCCCATAATTTTAGCTTATTTTTTGGACGACATCCATTTATACAGTTCCTTGTTTATTTATACCATATTTACACTCGTTTTCTTTAACCTATTAGACTGCTCCTGCCTAGAAAGTACCTTGATAAACGAGACGTAGACCAAGTGGAAATTCCTTGACTATTCCACCACAAATGACTCAACTTCAATAGTCATGAAATGTGTCCGCTCTGCTTCTCATCCATTTTTGCTTGCCCTACTTTTCAGCCCCCTCAAGATATGCGGCCGAAAACACATATGGAGCGCGTGACTCCTTCCTGAACCATGATTAATACCTCATATATTCCAGAAAGATAAATACAGCTGCGTTTCCTGAAAGCTCTCAACTTTACATGGACCTGTTCTCCAGCATCAGTTGCACGTCGTAACGCATCCTCCATGAAACGCGATAATTCTTATATTGACCATTGAAGTCTTACTAACATTATTTATATTCATATGTGAGAAGTGTCATCTCCCTGATTCTATAACCAATGTGCCTTATAAAATATCGACCTAACTGAGTTACTTAGTAAAGTCTGTATGATACGGCACAATTTGATCTTGCCTGTGAACTGGAGTGGTTCATGTAACGTATTATTATTCGAGAATATGTTATAATTGATTATTAATAGAGGGCATGAATCTTTCATAGGGTCAACCTTCATTTAAGATAAGATCATGCATTTTCCCGAAGATTATCTATTGTTAGCTTTGTAACTCCAAGTCTTACTAATATCATCTAGATTCGTGTGTGTCACGTCCACGTTTTTGCGCTCTTTCGTTACTGAAGCATTGTATGTCAATCTTGTCGCAAATTATGACCTGTAAACTGAGGAAAGCCATAATAATATCATATCTACTTTCGTGAAAAAAGTTTCTGATTCCATTGTAATTAAAGCACAGGAATCCAACAAAAAAGCTTTTTTGATTTTGAGACGGACCGTATGAGCATTGATTTCGCCGATTGGGGCTATCCCTTTCTGGCTGAATAAAAACACATAATGAGTCGATCACGACTGATAATTTCCGAGGTAGTCTGGGTTATCCTAATAGAACAATTCCATGTGAAAACGACGCGGGTAACCCATGAACGAACCTCAGCACAACCGCAACTCAAGTGGCCCAAATTCACGTTCTGTTTCATCTTTCATTTCTATGAGTGAGGCGTTCATGGAGCTCCTTATGTTCCGTGATTTCAAACTTTCTTTAGTATATTGCTTTACGAGAGAGGCAGAAGATAATGTGCGTTATCACGAACTAGTCTTCTGTAATAGGAGAGGTAGTCAGAGGCTTGGGGCAAGAGGCTATTGGAGCCAAAATTCCTGCATAACTTCGTTAAACACTGCTCCATTTCTCACTGTTCCCTCATTCCAGTTCCATTTGTTTATAAGAATTTTCTTCCGGGTGTATTGAACTATTACTTGACGAGAGAATAAATGAATTAGTTGGTTTATATTTAATCATCATAAAGACTGTTATAGTTAAATTAGGAACCCAAACGAGAATACAATTTATTGTTGAAACCGCTCACTATGAACTTGACTGTATACGGATGGTAGTAATACGAGATATAAGGTCAGAGTTTTACGGCGAAGTTGTTGGAAATGTAAGTTAAATTAAAAATCTTCTAGACCTGTAGAGAGTTCTTGTATGTGTTTATCCTGATGTTGATGGTTTGTGTACATGGAGGGTTTTGAAGGTATATCCATCCCTTAATTTGATATTATATTAGGAACTTTTCAAACACCGAAATGTGCTTTACACGCTTGTGATTGTAAAGGATAAGGGAGATTTAAAGGAGACTTACTCAAAAAATCGTGACTTTGTTGGTTAATAATTACCTGTTTTTTTATTTCAAACCATAGTTCCAGGTGGCAGTGTTTATAAATTGTGGGGCAAACTTCGATGTTGTTGGTAACTTAGATCCTCAAGAGGAATGCATCTTTTACGTTTGCGACAGGTAAGCGTCGTGCATATTTTCACACCACCTAGCCGCCGTCCGATTCATATTAATAACTTCTACAACCAACGTCAGATTAAACTCTTATGTCTTAATGAAGACACCACGCTAGTGCCGAAATTCGAGGACGTGTTTCGAGAGTTCTCGGTAACTTTTTTCGACAGGCTACATTTTGTAGAGTGATGAGTCAGATGAGGATTCTGAGGAGCAACAGAACAGAAGATTGCAACCAGATGATATCGAAAAAAGAATAGAAAAAAGGAAATGGAATAGAAAAAGACAAGAACTTTTAATGGATTATGAGAGCTTTTCCTACCATAGTGTTGCTTCGTCTGTAGTCATGTTTGACTTAGCCTGGAAGCTCTCCCAGGAAAACAACTGCTTATTATGGTGAGTCACCAGAATACTGATAAAGCACTCTTTGTAAATACTGTTAAGCTTTATGATTTCCATGGAGCTGAACACAAACACCTAATGCTAGATATGGATGATGTTTAGTTCATGTCCTCCTTAACCTTTCTGTTTGTTGGAGTCAACCACATTACATATGAAGTTCTTTTTTTAACATTCGTGGCTGTGGTTAAGATGACAAGAAAAACTTAGTTTTTCAGGAGAAATCTTTCCGTTTATTGACGCAGTTACTGTATGTACTTGCTACAGACCACTACTAAACACGTGTTCGGTCACGACGTCTGAACCTCAGAACTGTTTTATTGTAACGGATGTATACCGTCGTGTACTTGAAACGCTGGGGTACTTTTAACATGAATTGTGATTCAGTGGTTTGACTACTTGTTTATTGTTATCAGTATGTGTGACCAACTAAATATTTAGTTCCAAGGCAATTGTAAATATAAGTGTATTCATCTCTTCCTCCCTGACTAGTGAGTTAGTTATAACTTAGAAATACTTCGGTGTGTGCAAAATACCACAATTCAGTCGGTGATGGGCCTAAACCTCATCTTCTCGATCGGGAATTTAAACATCAAATCAGTTACTTTGATTTTAGCGTCACCAAGTATTGCAACGAATAGCACTAGCAGCTTAGTCTACAAACATGTACATAGTTTCTAGCCCAAACAATGCTTACAATAAAGTCATCTTGATCAATGGATTAAGTCCCAACTTCCAAGTTGAAAGTTCGAAATACTTTACATAATCATCATTGAAGGACCTAAACATACACTTGTCTCATTATGACTGTTCATTCCTTATAAAAAGTTTTTTGATTCGTCCAACATTGCTTACTAAGTAATTGTTACAGTTCTAAATGGCTCATCCGGAATTGCTGTTTACAACGGACCAAGAGTCCCTGTTTTCAGTAGAATAAACCACATAGGTAAAGTTCGAAAATAACTGCACCAGTACCATCAACCCTACGTGTTATTATAACTCCTCAGGTCGCCGATAGTAAGATTTTGTGAATTTTTACAATTCTAGGCTTTTCAGTTTCACACAATAAATAATAACTGGATTTCAGTCAATCTTTCCTGAGGACAGCAAAGACGTTCCTAACAAGTTTAGTAAAATAAAAACGTTTATTTAGCCATCTAAATGTCATCTATTCTTTAGTAGCCTGTGTGACAGTTCATTTCAAAACATGGTATTCCCCAGTAGTTCTGTGCCATGCGAGTATTTATCTGATGCTAATGGGTTTCTAATCTCATAGATATATTAACTATCGAACTATACATTTAGGTGATCGTGTTCTAGCTGTAATTATTAATAAGATCTACTTCAAAAGACGAATGCCCCCAAATGCCGTGGTACGGCCGAGAGTGAGGAGAGTCCGCTCTACCTCTCGAAATGCTCTCACATGGTCACGCGTATATATCCACTGCCTTCTCGTGGCGGGGGTGTTGTTTACGAAACTGAGAGGACGAAAAGCGGATGTCCGGCGCCTTAGCCGGGTTGGTGGTCATGGAGAGTCGACCTAGGAGGGTTGAAAAACCCTGATTCCAAACCAATGGTGCACATGGGCTCCAGTATCCTGAAGGAACAAATGGTGTATGAGCCAATCGTTTGTCATCGGCTACCATGGAAAGACGAATAAAGTAACGAATTATTTCCTCAACCCGCTTTTTATCATGGGTCTAGGCTAACGTATCTCTTATAATAAGATCGATGTTAACCTAATGTTGCTGTTCTAGATAATCATATATTTAATTTAAAAGTATTTATGAAAATGATGACAATTGATTACCAATGCTTAAAAGATAAAAATGTAGATCAGTGAATGAATTTAAGTTTAATGTTTATGCCTTTGCTTTCAGATTTATGGTATAGTTTATAAAACATAATATTTACTTGTCACGAATTTTTCTTACATATTTTTTAAGGTATGCGATAGTAGGTCAAACCTCCCAACTAATCACTCATGCAATAAATCGAGAACATTATATTGACCAACTAGACTATCTTCAGAGCCATATGAGTCGTCTAAGTCATATTGGTCAAATTCATTCTGGAACAAGTACAAGTGATGAAAATAAAGCTAGAATCGAAATTTTATTTGAAGATGAATTAGCTCTATGGCTTTATAGACATTGGAGTTTAAAAGAAGCAATAGAGACCAGTATGGTAACAGCATCCAAATTCAAACTGTTTACTGAAGGAGGACAGCGACGTATGTATGAATTTCTTGTACAGTTGGGGTAAGTAGACTCGGTTATCAAAAAATCACAGCTATTTAAAGATTACTCAGGCAAATATTCATGGTAGGTGTTGGGTTTTCAAAGAATGTTTGTAAATTACATCTTAACAGATTTATTGTTTACAGCATACTCACGGTGACTTCTTGAGTCTTATTATTTTTGTGATCACTGGTTCTATATGATAAGAATGCAAGATTATATGGTACCAAATTGCTTTATGTGGTCGACGACATATCCCCTAATTACATTCTCTGTCAAAAGAATGAACAAACCTATGTTATAATGATAATTACTTTGGTTGTTGGGTATGCGTACCTTATAGCATTTAAGAAGTGTGGCTTAAAGTTTGGTATAAGGACCTATATTCAGTCACCGAGTTGTAATCGCTACTTATTCACAGTGTTTACTTACAAATTTTCAGCACCAATGAATGTCGAATAGCTTAGAGTTTCAATTTCTTAATACTGAAACAAAACTTGTAAATCCACTCGGTGTAGTTCAAAACCGAACTTGTACTTGGTAAATGAGTTACACATCATAAATGAACGGCTCTAAATTAGTCTCCTTTGTGAGTCACATGTTTGGGTTGCTCATGCCTCAAAAATCTTAACCTTTTATTAACCTGTTCTGAATACTGATTTGACATCGAATCGTTTATATAGGGAGCTGTCTATGTTAGTTTTGTTTTCCACTTAGATACTTCAGCCTATTAAAGTATAATTTTTCTGCAAACCCTACAGGTTGCTGAAACAAATATTCTAGTGTGAACATAGCTGGTGGAGTCTGTGATTTTTCTTACTACTAAGATAGCATATTAGTCGTATTCTGTGTTTGCCACTAATCAGTCTATTGTCAGTTTATCATTAAATGCAGATGATTTTCCTTTTCATTGTGGAGTGATCAGAACTCTTCAGAGGCTATTTTTTGGTTAGAGTTTCACTGACATTTACTGTTTGCGTAACGGGTTTTGACTAAACTTATTCCATTTGTATTCAGTAGGCTTAGCGGAGATTAATATACAGAAACATGGTTTTGACCTTCGATTTTTTACGAAATTCCATTAGTCTCAGTTGTGGTTGATAATGCAATTAGTCAGTTATTATATGTACATGTAGTTAGGAGGGACTACTTGATACTTTTCCCCCATCATTTCATTCGTTGAGAGGCACATGTTTCATAATTTTTAGTATTAGCTTATGACTTTTAGTGCTAATTTCCAACTTATTTTACTCAATAATTATTATCTAGGGTCGAGTTTAGTTAAGGAATTTCCGTAGAAACTTGACGAGCATTTTAACTGGGATGATTGAGCTAACTCTTAATAACTTCTTTTTAGATTGCCGCGACGTGAATGTGCACAGTTATATTCTTCTATGAATAGTAGTTTGCGTGACAGTTTAAATGCACAATTTTTACAATATGGTGAAAAATATGGGTGAGCTATCTTTTGTTATTTTCTATTTCTTTCCACTTCCTTTAGTGTCTTAGTTGTTTCAAGAAGTAGATGTTGTTCTTTAGCTTTATTAGGTATCAATACGAGACTTTTGGGTATTTGAAATGTGTTCGGTAATTTATTCAACTACATATAGCTATGTTTTATTTGTTGCTCAAGTAACTTACAAACGGTAAGAGTATGTATATTGTTATTTCATTTTTTGACGAGTTTATACTTGTTTATCGAAAATATAAATAACTTTTCTTTGGCTTTCATGTTTAAATATCACTGATTAAGTGAGATTAACAATAATGCTCTAGAATTCAGTGTTTTGTAGGATAACCTGTTCTTAATATTTAACTGAACTCAGAGGTGTATTTCCTGTTTACAGGAAGATCTTGGGTTCCAAGGTACTTGTTCATGCCTTACTTTCATTCCTTCCATTTTAAATTGAGTTCTCTAATGTTCATTTTCTTCTTACTACTATCGGTTCTACTATTATCTGTACTTCATTGCTAGTCATCCCGTTATTTTCATCCCACTATGCTAGTGCGACATGACGGCTTGGGATGATACACATTTGTGCTACCCTTTACATCGATGTTCACTGACTGACTGGTATTTAATAGATAAATTTGTATATGTTTACTAATTTTCGTGTCATTATCATCAGTTACTTGAAGTTATATAAGGTCTATTTTCATCATCCCATCAAGATGACAAAAATGTATCCAAAGCTGTTTTTGCTTAACTTATCAAGCTGAAACTTTAAATTTATTATGCATGGTCATCAACTCGTTACCACGGTATATGATTTTAGATTTACCCAACGAACATGAACATCGTTATTTAAATTGGCGTTTTCCTAGTTTTCTGTTCTTTCATCTTTCCATTATTATTTCATCTGATATTTACTAAGTCTTATCGTATTTGGATTCATCTTCGATTTAATTTTGTACGAAGACTGGGCTGTTAGTTTAAGTTGGAAAACTTATTCCGTATGTTTCACTTCTAGGAACTAGCTTGCATATTCAGCTTGTATTAATATTTCGGTCCTTGTCTATAAGCGCACATTCACAAGATAATTTACTTGTTGATATTCTACAATTAATCATCTATTCATCACTTGTGCAAACTTATGAAAAAGGATTATTGCACAACCTAAATTTCCAGCTGATTGAATTGTAACCACAAGTTCCCTTTTTATAGTTTAATGAAATTTTAATAACATTACCTATCTGCCTAATTATTTTTACATACATGTTATTATATTTTTTCCGTAGTCTTTCACGAACTGATCTGTTTTTACCATCTTTCATTGTTCATTTGGGATATCGAACACCTATGTCGGCAGTCGATACTGTTTTCCTAACTATATCCGCTTTAGAGTGCTATGTAAGTTCTATAATAAAATACTAATGAAGAGATTTATAATATTTTTATCCTCAGATTTATTGTTGGCAGGAAAACTATTCCGAGTATTATTGTTATCATGGAAAGCTTGGTTAAACTGTACATTTTCTCTTGCAATAAAACTGTATGGTTTTAAAAAAAAGATATTCCTAAACAAATTTAATATGAATGTATGTTAAATATATATGTACCATATGTATATTGTCATCATGACAATATTAATCAGTAACTTCATGCATTTACATATGTTCTCCTGTAAATTATCTATCGAACAAATGTTAATGGTAGAACTTGTTGGAACTGGGTTCAGTAGTGTTATATTTTTCTTTGAGAATCGAAGGACTAAGGGAATAAGCGGCTAGTCAGTTGTACACTTCGAATTAATTTAAAATCGTTAAATCAATTATTGAGATTTTTAACTTTGCTTAGGCCATCTGATTATCGTTAAGGTGCCATTAAGTTTTCATACTAATATACCATAACTGGTTTAATCTCTTACTGGCCGATAAGTACTAATTAACCTTTTGTTCCATTCGATGGTTTGTTTAACTGATTTAAAGAGTTTGATACTCCAGTCGATTTTATGTGCTAATTATCGATTCATTAACTTCGTACTTATAATTTTTATACTTTTACTCCTTCAGAATAGCGGTAATCCGGTGGAAAACTTTCAAACGGCATTGGACACAGTAGCTTGGTAAGTTTTGCTTCAAAATTCATACTTTCCTATGGTGCCATTATCTTACGCAAATTTTCACTAGTTAAAAGTTTATTTCAAAATCAGCTAATTGCATTAACTATCTTTGGTTTGATTTATTTATTTATTACAAGTAACTAAGATGAATCATCTCTCGTTTAAAATGGCCATCGTGGATATAAGTCTGGATACTAGTCCATAGTCTTGTATGGAAGCTGAAAGTATTAAAAGCTTTATACTTAGTGGTTGTTATCTTCTTATTGCCTGTCTAGGTCACAGTAGCTCAGATGTATTCACTCTTGACATCCTTTTAAGTTATACACTTTAATATTATTTCATACTTTTATTGCTCGAATAGTATGCTCGAATGTCTTTCTCACTATCATATACTCTATAATTTTGACACTTGCTACTAGTTATATGTTTATAGTTAATAAATTATATTAGTTTGATCTTAATTTGTAAAACAAATAAAGATTTAGAGCTACTCAACCACGTTTTTTACAATTCTTCTTAAAAGGTTTCTTACTTTAAATTCATCGCTTACTGATACGGTGTCCAATAATAATGTCTTAATTTGTTAGAAAGTAATTGATCTGGAAACTGATTTCTTCCAGTCGCCTTCGATAGTTAGTCGTGTTTATTTTGTGTTGGTATTTTGCATATAAGCCAATAGTCTTATTTTCAATATTAAATTATTCTGAAGTCTACGTCAATAAATCGGTTTTGTGAACGATCATCATTCAGTCACATCATATCACTGCTTATCGTGTGTCGATCAACATTCTTGTCTATCATTTCTTACAATCGAATAATCGTTTCGTCAAATCACGGAATCTCCCTCCATAACAATTACATGTACCTGTTTGTTCTTATTTTCTAACGTTTTATTTTATTGAAAAACGGTACTCCCTAACTCAATGCTTTCGATGGATAAAAGCGTCGAATGTACTTTTGTCAAGCGAAAATGTGCAGTGAATAGACTAATCATTATTGCATCTTATTAGTTAATTTTGATCAGTTTCATTTAAACTGTGTATTGTTAACTCTACGTATTAAATTCAATTATGAGCAAAGATGGGTGGTCGGTAGCACTAGTATTCGGGACGCGCGTTTCGCCATCTTCGAGACATCAGTTGGAAGATTCGAACAACTAATACAAGATGAACTAAGTTTCTTCCCATTGCACGAGCTAGTGGTTATCTAGACTCAATAGCTAAGTGGGTAGTGCGATGGTGCTTGAAGCGTACGGCACTTGGTTGGAGTCCCGGAGTGAACATCAACTCTGAGATTCAGGCACAATCTTAAACAGAACGAGACGCGCGGCCTGGATCCCATCACCTATCTCTGGTCATAATCCTTGTGACTTCAGTTAATATTGGGGCAATTCGCACAGGATAGATATATGTTAGTAAGAAACTGGTCGATTGCAAGTACAAACGTTAGAGGGAAGATTCAAACAACCCATACAAGATAAATTAATCCAATTATGCTTAAAATTGTGACTATTTAAAGTTAAATTGTTAATAACAATCTGTTCTTACTGGAATAAGTATGATGGCTGTAAAATGTAGTGCCTCAATTACTTAAACAGATATTTTGAATAGGGAATTCTTGGTATGCTCTTTTAACATTTGTCAGTCCTATTATTTTGTACATGTTTTAAAAGTCACAGTAATTTGGATACACAAGCTTGTTTGAAATAATTCCAGTGGTTGAAATTTACATAACTTCAGTGTTTCTAACCGTTAACTACCTGTTTGAGCTTTTTCAGAGATTTTGATTATTTCCATGGATAAGCTTGGATCGGATCGCTGAGTGGAATGTTGGTATCATTTAAACTTCAATTGCTGATACGTTTTTCAAAAAGTTTCTACTTCTGATCTCTAGTGTATACTCGGTGTATAAGTTTTGGCGAATGTTCATTCATCTTAAATCAAATCAAATTTATAATTCGACAACCTCAGTATTCAGTAATTAAGACGAAAGCAAAAAGATTTCAACAATCTTTTATTGAATGGTGAACCATACTATAGAAGTCACATCTATCTCAATGTTTCAACCACATCTAATCTAACTAACATGTCAACTACTGAAATAAAACACTATTATACGCAAAGTTTTTTCGCAAACATCTGAATAAACTCGATTCTACAGCGTTACTATGGTGCTAATAAAATATATACAATAACAGTATATATCTTCACTACCGATGTATACTTTAATCTTTTGATTGAGATCATGAACCGATTGATGTTAGACCACCGTTGAAAACCTGGAAGCACTGGACGGCACCATTGGATGCCGGCTCAGTGGTCCAGTAGGTTGAGCGTTCGCGCGCGAGACTGAAGGCCGTGGGTTCGAATCACGCGAGCGGGATCGTGGACGCGCACTGTTGAGGAGTCCAACAATAGGACGAAACGGTCGTCCAGTGCTTCCAGGTCTCCGACGGTGGTCTAACATCAATCGGTTCATGATCTCAATCGAAAACTTAATAATCTTCACAACCCCTATATTCGTACTTTAATCGTCTGATCGAAACTCATCTATTTGCTAGGGGACTATTCTGATCTCTTCATCTGTAATGCCCACAAGTAAAAGTTGTGCTAAATGCAGGATGTCATATATATACATAGTTTTTTTTCCACATTTCAGTTGGAATTCACCTTCATTAGATCAAGAGATAAAACAAACAGAAATCCATCTTCAGAGTTTAGCTAACCAAGTTCGTAATCTTTTAGATACAGATGATGTGGTCGCGTTTGGTCCATTTTTGTATGTATATATTAGAAAAGTGAGGTTAAAAAATATTTTGATTTATTCACTTTTTAACTTTAAATTCATTACTTATTCATAGTGGGGAAAATTTAACTGGCTGTCCACTGATTTTCATACAACGTTAAACTCCCGTTAGTTTGGTTTCTTGTGTTGTATCGTTCAGTTGTTCAAACAATACCTTATTCAATAGGTTACAGGTCTATATTTTGCACAACGTAATTCGTTTACCAATTAAAGATTTATGTGCTCAAATTAGAGTCGCACTATGTGTGAGCGCTTCCATACCAAAACAAATGAGGAGTAACTCAAACCATTGATTTAGTGATTAGAAGACGAACTGACTAAACACTTGACCACCACTTCATAAAACGTGTAGGATTCACAAACTAGTACATACATTTAAAGGCTGTTTGTAAGATTTAGTCACAACTGAACACATTTTCAAACCCAACATTCTATCCTTTTAATCCTTTGAAGTCTCCCGAATAAAGCGGTGTATAACTTCATACAGTAAAAAATCATTAAAAATTTTCACGCTTCATAAATACCAGAGGAAAAAGTCAACTGACAAAACAAATTAGTTTAAAGTGGTTTCGATTAAAAAAACTTAACAGCAGGAAAATTTGTTTGATGTAGTCTGCAGTAAGCGTAAACATATACTCAATCGTAACTGGTTTTCATTTTGGTATATCAATTAGGAAGCGTTATAGACAAGTTTCATCTTGTGTCTTTGACTCAACAAAATCCTCAAGTTTATGAAGTACACAAATTCTTTTTGCGTCTAAAGTTTACTCGGCATCTCTTTAACCTAGTTTGAGCAATGTCTACGTATTTCCCATCAAACTATATATTATATTTATATATAACTTTTTTAGAGTTCTTTGGTAACACATGCACTGAGGAATAGTCAGTCTTTAGCGATTTTATCAAAATACATTCTTATGGCAAAGTCATCAATGAGGGCTAAATTGGTAAGTCTGTTAATCTAGAAATATTCTGAATGTTTTTTTTATGAAGGGTCATGGTAGAAGAGTAGTTCAAATGCCTTTAATCGTGTGTGTAGATAGCAAATCAGATGATAATTATATTTCACTCTTGGGAATTCCACCAATTCATGGAGACGATGACCGGAAGTAAGTCGTCTTATTCTTTACTGGCGTTTGTCAGTTTATTTGGTCAAGCTTTTGAAGCTGCTATAAATCGCACTAAAGCACGTGCTGAGTTCAAATATTTCAGTACAAATTGTAAGTTTATGCAATCAGATTTTGTGTTATAAATTCTTTTTAGGTATTGAACTTCATAGAGAAGATATGCTAAAACTATTTGAAGCACTGTCATCTCTGCTTACTTAGTTTTTCTTCTATTCTCTCACTAGGAATCCTTCTTTTCTACCATTGTGTCTTATATAGATATAGTTTAACAATGGAAGTTGATCATCTAATTTATATGTTAATCTTTATTTTAAAGCACTTATTTTTGTATGTTTCTCACTGTTTTCTTCTTTTTGTCGGGCTGTACATACATGTGCATTGCTTACAACGTTCTATTTAATGATTATAGAGTACTTATTTAATCCCACCGTTTGTTTTTATAATTGCGCACACGCGTTATGTAGTATCTTCCGAACAGCGAAAGGGAAAAGTTTACCATACGATATGCATAAGCTTAGAGTAGCGAGAGCAAACGATTGGGGTACTTTCTGTTAAAAAAAGATATAAGTTAGTACGATAAAAGATCACGTATGCCAATCGGGAAAGGTTTTAGCAAAATTTTGTGCAAGGCACTGTCGATGGCCTGACTTAAATCGAAATATAGAATCATCACTGGTTAACGTATCTTCTGTGTGTTACTTCGATGTGTCTGCTTTATGTTTACCATTGCATAATCCCGTTCTGAATTCAAGGGAAATAAACAATGCTCTCCATACAGATGGAAAGTACATGTATAAGTTAAACCTAAGGAATTATCTACCCCCATATCACGAATGATGGGGTAGTACCGTTAGGTTCGTCTTCATTCGACTTCCAGGGCATTAATAGCCTACTTGATGTTATTGGATATGAAATTAATTGTGAATAGATGTTTAAATGTCAGCGTTGAAAATGCATTAGCAAATGCTTCGGTTCCTGTAATGTAGCATCGTAGTCGAACTGTTCACAAATAGTATCAGGGTTGTCTACAATCTTGTCCTTAATTGTTAAGAATGTGATCACATTAAGAGTTTAAAGTCTCAAGCAGTATTTGAATTGCCAACTTATTGGTAGGTCTGGTATTTTGCTATCTAGAGCTTTATTCTCCATAGTCCAAAGATGTTTTCATCGAGAGGAATCATTTCTGCTAATTAAGTTATTCATGACGTGACGTACGCACAAATCATATTGCTTGTTCTATGGGTGCTTCGGATTTTTCAACTTTCCTTTGAAAGTCTAACTAGTACTCTGGTTCTTATTAGTGTTTCAAATGACATATTTGACGTCTGGAGCACTACAGTCAATGGAGAACTTCAAGTTGTGATATAGATCAAAAGGCGCAATACTTATGCTATATTTATTGAAGTACGACTCTTATAGTAGGCAACGAATATGTGTTTCAGTGCGCTTCCCTATCTCTTGGTTAAACTTCCCACTCTAGCACTGTCACAGCTTTAGGATCTGATAGTATAGTGGTTGAAAAATGAAATTAATTCATTGCGAACCTATGATCTCCCATAATAAGTTTGAGGCTGGAATCCCTTGTGATCGAGTTGAAGTTGATTGTGTCAAGTATATTATTACATTTATCAGTGTTATAATCTATTGTTTGAAACCTATTATATTGCTGTGGTACGAAATTCGATTCCATTCAATGTTTACTGGACATAAATATTCCGCAATGTTCTTAAACTTATGTGTTTGATGAGAAACAGTGGAAAATATGTTCGCTAACAAGCTATCAAAGTTGGTGTACACATGTGATCAATAATCATATTCCAACTGTACGTATTTTTGCTATCAGCAATTTTCAGGAACTCAAGCAGTAATTATTATTCACAAAAATCTTATCGGTACATAAGTGATATGTCTTGCCACTTGAATGCTACTTGTTATATCTGGTCGTCGCTGATTGTTATATCTGAAACGCCTATCACTTATACTCGAGACTAGGGACCTCCGCAATTTCCACAATGCGAAAGTAAGAACACAAAGACTAGTATAAGTGAAAATTTATTAACCCCGAAAAACAACGACGATAGTCAGAAATTCACTCGTTTTTATGTTGATTGTACACACAATTTGATTAATAATTAGGATGAAGTCACATATAGAGCATGGTTCATGTCAATTAAATACAAGAGTATCGTTTATTATTGTTGTGGATGCGGAGGAATAGACCAATAATTATCATGTTAAGTCCAATGGTGTCCTTGGACTTTAAATGGACATTTCCTATTGGTCGATATCTATTCACCTGTTGAATATTGTACAAAATGTTTTCTATTTTATGGTACGATGTGGTATGCTTGATTGGTATATAAACAAGGTATGTTTGAAATATAATGATTCATAACTCAGAGATTGTGACTTGTGTTCTGGACTCAACTGACTGGGCTAGACAGGGAAGCGAGACCAATCGAGACTCTAGGCCGTCCGTACGTATTTACGTGTCATTGAATCGATCGATAAATACGCTGCTCTCTAATTTTTCCAGTCAAGGACACAACAATTAGCACAGGGTAAAAATCGACCGCAACTTAAAATCATAACAATTATGCAGAATAAAATATCATATGAGGCAATAAAGCAAATACTACTTTGTGTAATCATTACATTGAACCAAAGCGGAAGTAATGTTGAACAAAATTTAATGAGTACATCAATCGAATTTCGACTCTTCTTCCCCTCATATCAATGGGTGTTGTGAAGAAACCATTTCAGGTTTCCTTAGAAATTCAATAAGGCACAAGTTCCAATAATGTTAGCATTATATTTGCTATATTTGAAAAAGAGAAAAAAGGTGATGGTAATAGAGTAATAATAATAAGTCAGGTTCTGTAGAATTGAGAAGCATCCTGAGCTGACTTTAAAGAAGAAAATGAGGGAATAGAGATAAATGAGACGCGAAATACGTAAGTAGTTTAATAAGCGTGTAGCGGTAAATAAATCCCTAAAATAAATAGCTCTGTAAGTTTTCGACATTGGATGCTGACCATATGTTTTAGTCGACTCATCTAGCTGAAGGCGCTCGGTCATGCATCCGCACCAGATCACGTGTGGTAACGCCGTGCACAACATCAACCGCAATCGCTAGCCAGATTAGATCAGAGAATTCCGATATATTGGTCATCGCCAAATATACTCTTCCGATCTCCTCGACTCTGTCTTTTGATTTCTCTGGGCGGGAACGAAATATATTAGAAGGTGTTACTGGTAGAAGCGTTGTCAAACACTGAATACCTGTGACATCATCATTGGTGAGCCCGACGTGATCTGGTACACCTAATTGCAACTGTGAGTCTGTTCCTTTTTGGGATTTTTATATATCATTGCCTTATTTTTTTTTTAAACATTGTGATTTTTTTTCGTGTTTTTTCCTGGATATATATATTTTCCCCTCGTTCATTATCGTACTTCATACTTCATCATGACTGAACAGACACCTAAAGTACTCAAGCTTAAGACTTTGTCCCCACCTTCGTTTCAACTGATGCCTTTCTGGCCCGACAACATCGAAGCCTGGTTTTGCTACGCAGAAGCCGACTTTTCCGAGCACGGCGTGATCGACACACGTGCACAATTCCTCGCAGTAGTCAAGGCACTACCGCGCGAATTCAACAGGTACGTAACACCTAGTATGTTTACTAGTGATGTTTCCGATCCTTACGAAATCTTAAAACGCTCGATTCTTAAACGAGGAGACCTAACCGATCGACAAAGGTTAGATCAACTCTTCAACAATATCGACCTGCAACACGGTTCTGCGACAGACATGTTGCAACGGATGAGAGAGGTTATAGGCCCAAGAACTTTCGACGAAGGCCTATTCAAACAACTCTTCTTGTCAAAACTTCCCCAACAGGTGCAAGCAGTTCTGGTCTCGTTCCAGAACAACGCCTTAGACGAGCTAGCTGCATCTGCCGACCGCATTTTAGAAATTACGAAATCTACTACCGAGGTATTTTCAGTCAAAGAAAAACCTCAAACGACTCAGAATGATATAAACGACTTATGTCACACACTCACGCGTTATCTTAGTCTTCGTACCGACCGTAAGATATCGCGCACACCACGTAGAAGCATTTCTCGTAAGCGATCTGTCTCTAGACCACGAGAGACAGATAACCCCGACTGGTGCTGGTATCATAACCAGTATGGAAAGTTTTCCAGAAATTGCAGGAAACCCTGCAATTTTCCCAACACGAAACCGACTGATTCGAAAAGCAATTCGGGAAACTTCCAAGCCGGCACGCGTTAACGGCAACCGTAGCCGGCGAACATAGCCGTCTGTTATTCGTCACAGATGTGACAACGAGAGTTCGCTACCTCGTCGACACTGGCGCAGAAGTTAGCGTTCTCCCAGCAAATCCTAACGACCGACTACACGAATCGACCCTAAACTTACAGGCGGCAAACGGAAAACCGATCGCTACGTATGGAAAAAGGTACGTTTACCTTAACGTGGGTTTACGCAAACCCATCCACTGGATTTTCGTTGTTGCAGATGTTTCTATGCCAATCATTGGTATGGATCTTCTACAACACCAAAATCTGATCATCGACACGCGCAAACGGAGGCTAGTAGACGGCAACACTAATTTGTCCGTTTGCGTAACTTCTTTTACTGGTTGTAGAGTATCCCCAGTCACAGTTAAACATATGATAGACCCACTCTATCAACCACTACTCGATAAGTACCCTGAGATACAACAAACTCAAACGAAACTACCGTGTGTAACCAGCAATGTTACACATCACATCACGACTACAGGACCACCTGTATTTTCTAAAGCACGCCGACTAGCTCCTGAAAAGCTAAGGTTAGCGAAAAACGAATTCGATCACATGATGGACTTAGGAATCATACGACCGTCAAGTAGCCCATATGCATCTCCGTTGCACATGGTCCCTAAAAAGGACAGCAACGATTGGCGTCCAACTGGTGACTATCGGCGATTGAACGCGAAAACCATTCCCGATCGTTACCCGTTGCCTCACATTCACGATTTGACAGCTACCTTGAACGGTACAACTGTCTTTTCGAAAATCGACTTGGTTAAAGCGTATAACCAAATCCCTATGGCTACTGACGACATACCGAAAACGGCTATCATAACTCCTTTCGGACTCTATGAATTTTTGCGAATGCCTTTCGGTCT